AGAAGTATAGAGAACACCTGCTACAACGGTCAGGGGTTTAGCAGAACTGTAAGGGCACCACATAGGTATTCTCCTGCGTTGAATTACATTTTATCGACCCGCAAAGGTGAGTCGGAGAGTTAATGAAGCCATGGGGGCTAAGGTTCGGTCTAGTGGGATTTGGTCATGAAGGATGAGATGAACTCGTTAACGTCCAATCAGACCAGTTGGTTAAGTTACCAAAGGGTACGAAAGCTTTGAAGAATAATGTGTGTACCGGATAAAAGATGATCATGACGGTAGCAAAAGGTACAAGACAAGGCTAGCAATAAAAGGATTCCAACAGAAAGAAGGCATCAACTACACAAATATCTTTTCCTCGGTGGTGAAGTTAATCACAATTCAAACAATTCTTACATTGGTGGTATAAGAAGATTTGCTCTTGGAGCAAATGGATGTGAAGACAGTTTTTCTTCATGATGACTTGAAGAAAGAAATTTACATGGTGCAGCCACAAGGGTTTGAGTGAAGGGGGAGAAGATGGTGTACAAACTTCAAAAGATCTTGTATGGTCTCAAACAAGCTCCCAGTCAGTGGTATAAGAATTTTTACAGTTTCATGAGCAGTATTGGGTTCTTAAGATGCCTTGTAGATCACTGTTGATACACGAAGAATTTTAGTAGCTCGTTCGAAGCAATTTACTATGAAAGATTTAGGTGCTGCAAAACATATCATTGGGATGAGAATTACAAGTCATACTAATGTCCTAAAACTGTCACAAGAGGGGATGAGAATTACAAGTCATAGTAATGTCCTAAAACTGTCACATGGTACAGCCACAAGGGTTTGAGTGAAGGGGGAGAAGATGGTGTACAAACTTCAAAAGATCTTGTATGGTCTCAAGCAAGCTCCCAGTCAGTGGTATAAGAATTTTTACAGTTTCATGAGCAGTATTAGGTTCTTAAGATGCCTTGTAGATTACTGTTGATACACGAAGAATTTTAGTAGCTCGTTCGAAGCAGTTTGCTATAAAGGAATTGGGTGCTGCAAAACATATCCTTGGGATGAGAATTACAAGTGATACTAATGTCCTAAAACTGTCACAAGAGGAATATGCGAAGAAGGTGTTGAAGAGGTTCAACATGGAGGATGCAAAATCGATGAGTACTCCTTTGGCTAGTCATTTCAAGTTGTTGAAGGAACAAACCGACTTCGGAGCATGAGCAAGTCTATATAGCTAAGGTGCTTTACGCCTCCGCTATAGGCAGTCTTATGTACGCTACGATATGCACTAGATTGGACATTACGCATACAGTGGGAGTGGTCAGTAGGTATATGAGTAATCCAGGCAAATACCATTGGAAAATAGTGAAGTGGATTCTGATAGGTGCTGTAGGTTTAATTGTGTGTGTATATATTATATATATACGCGTTCTCTACAAGCAGAAAAAAAAGTTCATAGAACAAACCGACTTCGGAGCATGAGCAAGTCTATATAGCTAAGGTGCTTTATGCCTCCGCTATAGGCAGTCTTATGTACGCTACGATATGCACTAGACTAGACATTACGCATACAGTGGGAGTGGTCAGTAGGTATATGAGTAATCCAGGCAAATACCATTGGAAAACAGTGAAGTGGATTCTAATAGGTGCTGCAGGTTTAATTGTGTGTGTGTATATTATATATATACGCGTTCTCTACAAGCAAAAAAAAAAAGTTCATAACACGTTCTTAGCAAGAAAAAAAAAATGTACATGCACGTTTGTTCGTTTCTTCAACAAAGAAAGGGAGTAGTATATGAAACACGAGTTAGACTTTCTTGCATGTAGGCCAAATATAAGTGCTACTTTAGCTTTACTCGGGGAGTTCTCACCCAGTGTTACTTTTACAAAAGTGACCCCGAATTGACAACCATATCTTCATCTAGACGGAAGAAAAAATATATATTTATAAACACCTCCATTGAATATTGGTGTACAGTTACTTTGTTTTGGAAGTATGTAATATCGTGAAAAATGCTTCAGATCATTAATAGAAGACCCGCCATATAAGTTACTTTTTTTATTCTTTTTTATATATAACTTTTTTCGTTGCCTTTTCAATAAATTTTATGTAGGACTTGGTGAGTTTATTAAAGGTGTGTTAATAAGCTATTATGTTGATTGTCTCCCCTTTCATCATTTTTTTTTTTTAACGTAAAAAGATGGTTATGATGCTTTTTAGAATGGATAAAATTATTACGGTACCCTATGTTAATATAGCGAAATATCTTATTGGTATTTTGTTTTTAATAATATTAAAATCATAACTTCAGTCGTGTTTGGAATTGATCATGTTTTTATTTTTACGTTTTTCGAGAAGAAAAAATGAAAATATTTTCAAAATGGCGTTTGGCACAATAAAGATAAAAAATGGAAATGAAAATGATTTTTTGGTTTAGTGTAAAATGAGAGAGAAATGAAAAATGACTTTTAGTTGTTTTTCATTTTTTATTTTTGTTTTCTCCTCTCTTGAGCAGAGAGAGAGAAAGAGAGACATTAATGGATTTTTTTTACACTGAAAATAATCTCTTGATAAAACTACCAAACGCATTTTTAAAAATAATTTATGTCTGAGATTGAAAACGTTTTCATTTTTATGTTCATACCAAAAATAAAATCATTTTAGAACGAGTTCCAAACGCGCCCTTCATTTTTAAAGAAAGGTTCTTTTAACACCTAAAACCAATTTTTAGGACAATGTACATTTTACGTTTCTCACTAATTAACAATAAACTAGTAATTTTTAAAAAAATATATATGAAAATAATTTAATATATTTAAAAATTAAACAATCAATATAAATTAAAATGTTTTTAACAAATAATTTTAAAGTTAATTATTAGTTTCTATTTAATTGATAAAAATGGTAGTTTAGACATTATATGTACCGAAAATTAGTCTTAGGGTACTAAAAAAATCTTTCTTTAAAGGTGAAGCTACTATTTTAATATTAAAAACACAGAGTACCAATGAGATGTTTCGCTATAATAAAGAGTACCAAATATAAGAAGAACCAATGGATTAAAGTACCTACTACTAGGGAAAGTAATATTTTATATATCGTTACCTCTTGCTATTGGTTTTGACTTTATTTGTATTAAGAAATTTCATTATTTTAATTTTGGGTTACTTACCTGATTTTATAATTTATATAGAGTCTCCTTTATAGTACTCTTTACTAGTAAACTTTCCTTCTTTTCTTAGACTTTGGTTATAGGAATATAGTCGAACCACGTTAAATCTCTCTTTATCTTCTCTCTTTCTTTGTATTTCTTATTTAATTATTTATTATCTACAAGAGTTATGTGCAATATTATATGATCATTGTTGTAGGGTGAAACAATACCTTAAAAATAGATCATGAACAAGGCCCACCGATCATAGGAAAACTCATTAAATGATTAAGGACAACTTAGTCCTAATAGCCACGAAAGCAACAACTCTTTTGGGAAGTAGACCATTATGAGAAACATTAGGAATGAACATGGAGTTGATCGTTCTCTCCAATATAAGCGAAGAGACCTCGAGTAGCTTTGATGAAGTTGAGGCTACGCGGATATAAGGATCCACATTATTTACTCAGAGATTCGTTATCTATAATTTGAATATATGAAATACGAATAAGGAAAACACTCAGATTAATTGTAGTCTCTATATTTTAGAAAATTATCTCAAGAGATAAGAGAAATATCCCAAATTTAAATAAGGAATTGACAAGGGCGGTCGCCTAGTAGTATAAATAGGGAATCATGATTCAGAAAATATCTAAAGTCTCATCTTGAGCATTAGTGCATGTATTTTTCTCCAAAGTAGTGAATTTTTTCCTCCTCCCCACAATGAACGTAGCTCTGAAACTGATAGTGAACCACTATAAATTTTGAATGTTCTTGCTTTTATTTCACGTTTAATTACATTTCAAGGGTGACCAACCCACATTTTTGTCAAGAAATTCATTATTATTCAATTAATTAATTTTCATCGTCAACAATCATAATCATTAATCAATATATTTTTGAGTCCAATTAAAATATATTGTTGTTAGTAATCTCTTACTTTGGAATTTGATAGTTCCTTCATTTAAATAATACCACGAGAAAAAGGACTTCTGAGTTAGAAAATAGTCGGGGTGAACAAAAAGTCGACAACCCTACAAACCCCATTAATCCACCCAACCCAACCCATTTTAACATGAACCTGACCAATCCGATCAAGAGTTCAACCCAACCCACTCAACCCGACTATTAATTGGAGGAGTTTGGGTTGAGTTTTTCCTAATCCAAATTAAACCGAACTCACCTAATCTATTTATCTATATAAATAAATATTTTCCTATCTCATAATATATTTTTTTGTCTCATATTTTACATTATTTACTTGACAACCGATTATGTTTAACATTGTATGAGTATTTATTATTGTTTGTTTGTTGGTTTACAACTTATATATTTGAACTTGCTTTACATATATTTTATTTTTATATTGGTCTTTATACATTTTTTATTTTGGGTTGAATGATTAGCTTTATTTATTTTTTTATTTCTTATTTCTTTATTATGTTCAATCTGATAAACCCACCTAATCTACCCAATATTTAAATGAGTGGGTTGATTTTAAACTTTAGATTGATTGTATGGGTTAAATTTAAAATCAACTCACCCAAACTTAATTGGATGGGTTGAAAAATCTCAAAAACCCACCCAATGTTCACGCCTAGAATATTGTGTTTGTTTCTGTGTATTGTTATACTTATTTGAGAATAGTGATAATTCACACTCAATTAAAGTCATAATTTCCACCATCTCAAAAAATAAGTAATCAAAACTAGAATACCTATTTACTCTATATATATATGTGTGTGTATTAAAAAAAAAAAAAAAAAAAAAAAAAAAAAAAATCTATAGGAACATACGAAGTGTTTTGCACGTGATCTGATGATCAAATCGCGTCCTCGCTTTAATCTTCAATAACTCTACAAAGTTAAGCCCCCCAAAACCTTGGCTTGGTTATATAGATCATACAAGTTCTATTGTTCATATATCCTTGTGCTCTTGGCAAAAGCTTCCTTTACAAATATGGTTTCTTCCATAAAGAAACTCCTACTTATACTCGCCCTTATCTATTTCTCTTTCTACCATGACGCGATCATCATAACCATCGCCGATTCCACACCTGTTTATGTACCCAAAGAGAATATCGCCCTCAACTGTGGCTCACAGGAGGAGCGAACTGCACAAGATAACCGTACTTGGATTGCGGATCATGAAAAAGATTCTCGATATTCCCTCATAGAATCAGACGGACGAAACAAATCGAATATCTTCGAAGCCCGCTCACAATACACCGTCGAAGCGGTGCCGTACATGACCGCACGTGTGTCTCGATCCCAGTTCACCTACAGCTTCGGCCTCACCCCGGGTCCCAAATTCATCCGGCTACACTTTTATCCCACACAATATCGCGATCTGGGTGACTTTGATCCCACAAGCACCTTCTTTACTGTCAAAGCCGGACGCTACACTCTGCTGAAGAACTTCAGCGCGTATCTCAGCGCCGAATCCTTGCAACCGCGGGCTTTCATGAAGGAGTTCTGCGTATACGTGGGAGAGAATATGGAAAAACTCGATATAGCTTTTCTTCCCGAAAATCATGGTAATAGTACTTCCTACGTGTTTGTCAATGGAATCGAGATCATTGGCCAGGGGGCCAGTTTCCTCGACTACACCGACAAGGCGCTCCAGACACTTTACCGGTTGAACGTCGGCGGCAACGACATCTCGCCTGATCAAGACACTGGCATGTACAGGTTGTGGACCCGAGACTTTCCTTACTTCAAGAGCTTGGGCTTTGCCCCCTGTGACACGAAAAAGAAGCTGAAGTACACTTATATAGAAAATTACACTGCCCCTGATGATGTCTACCGAACCTCCATCACCATGGGAAACAACAGGACATACAACAACCTCCGCAACATCACCTGGAGGTTGCCCGTCGACTCCAGATTCTACTATCTGGTTAGGCTCCATTTCTGCGAGTTTGAAGACACATACCAGAAGCCCGAGGATAGGATGTTCCGAATCTATCTAGACAACCGCACGGCTGATCCTGCTTTTAATGTGAGACAATAAATGAAAAAGTGTTTCTTCATCGGGTTTCTATTCAAAGGGCATTTTCGGAATTCTAATTATGTGTAAATCCAAATTTACATTAAAAAGGCCAATTAACTAACATTTTTTAAATCTTGGCCTGTTTATTTTTATTCCTCTTTTATGTTGGTCTATTTTGCTCCTTCTCTCTCTTTTTTTTAGGGCCGGCAATTTCGGACACGACATGATGAAACGATATGAAAATGAGATGAGATAAATGGGTTTAGACCGCACGATTGTTAATTGGGTGGTTAACGGGCTGGCACGAATAATACGAAAATAAACGGGTTGGATTCGTGCCAGCCCGTTTAACACGCTTAACCCGTTTAGTCCTCGCGGGACCAAACCCTCCACTACAGGACTCTAAGGGATCCGACCAAACTCTGAATCCAAACACAGAAAATTCCAAGTCGAAGAAAACACTATTGGCCATTGCCTTAGGGAGTGGCGTTGCTGGCTTTGTTGTTCTACTGTCTATGGTGTTCTGTGTAGTTTTCTTGAGGCTACGGAAGGAGAAACGCTACCACGGTTCGTCCAAAAGAAGATCCAGCAGGTCGACGAAGACTTCCTCGGGGAGGCTTCCTGAGCAGGTTTGCCGTTGTTTCTCGCTTGCCGAGATCAAGATAGCGACCAACAAATGTGACCAAGCGTTGGTGATCGGCAGGGGAGGTTTCGGTTACGTCTACAAAGGTCATTTGGCCGACGAAGCGTCCACAGTTGTTGCAATCAAGCGGCTGAACAAGGGGTTATCGGGCCAAGGAGAGAAAGAGTTCGAAGCGGAGATTGAGATGTTATCTCAGCTCCGCCACGTCCATTTGGTCTCCCTCATAGGCTACTACGACGACGACGATGAGATGATCCTCGTCTACGACTACATGGCCAACGGGACTCTTCGAGACCATCTCTATGGCACGGACAACGACCCTCTCCCGTGGAAACAGCGTGGGCTGCACTACCTCCATTCAGAAGTGAAGAACACCGTCATCCACCGCGACGTCAAGACGACAAACATATTGTTGGACGAGAAGTGGGTGGCCAAAGTTGCCGATTTTGGATTGTCAAAACTCGGTCGCGGCGACAGCGCTGTTAGTACGGCGGTGAAGGGCACTTTTGGGTACATGGACCCGGAATACGCACAGAGCCGGCAACTGACGGACAAGTCCGACGTGTACTCTTTCGGTGTGGTTCTTTTCGAGGTGTTGTGTGCCCGTAAACCGGTGGATGTCAAACTCGAAGAGGATCAAAGAAACTTGGCACAATGGGCAAGGAAGTCCATAAAAGAAGGGAGGATTCAGAACATCATAGACCCGTACTTGATAGGCAAGATTGCGCCGGAGTGTTTGAAGAAGTTCGTGGAGGTGGCGGAGAGGTGCGTCCGAGATTATTGGAGTCAACGGCCCACGATGCATGAGGTGATGGAGAACTTGGAGTTTGTGTTGGAGCTGCAAGAGCAAGCGGACGCCACGCAGCTGGGGAATAATCCCGACGGGCTGTGTTCGTATCCGGAGAAGCTGTCGTTCCATCTGGTTGTGGATAACGGTGGGTTCGGAAACGACGTGTTGGGGTTGCGAAGTGGGGCCGGTGTTACCACCACGGTGGGGTCCAACACCGCCGAATCGGGCTTTCGTAGTCTGGACAGTGAAAGTGGCACCCTCGAAATATTCTCAGACGCCTCTATTTCCAAAACCCAAGAATGATTGAGAGAAGAAAAAGTGTTTGAAGAAAGGGATGCTTGATCACATCGTAGATGAGAATCTGAAGGGTCAGATTACGCCGGAGTGTTTGAAGGTGTATGGAAAAGTAGCAGATCGGTGCTTGAGAAGTGATAGAAAATGACGGCCCAAGATGGATGATGTGTTGAGGGCCCTTGAGTTTATACTGAGGCTGGAGGATGGTGCTGATGCAGCCGCGGAGGAGGGGATAGAAATTGGTGTGGAAAATAAGAGTGATGAGAACATTTCATGTTGGAGAGGTGGAGATCAATTGCTTGTGAGATCACAGTACAAAAATGTTGTGTTGCATTCTTGTCCAACGATATTATGGCCAAAAAGTAATTCTCAAAGAATGCTTTTGAGATTCTTTAGCGATAAGGCGGGGCTGAAATGGGCCACCCAATCTACATCCCGAGCTCTGATAGCTTTATGTTTCACGTGTTCGTGTACACTAAAGAACCATCATGGTGAGGGTCTAAATTAAAATAAAAAATATTCACGGCCATAAAATATGTTCCCTCATCTATGTGAACGTATAAAATATCCTTACCAATAAAAAATTTGCTCAATCTTCTTTTCTTTTCTTTTTCTCTATTTCTTAATTCAATTTCCAATTACTTCACATGCTGATGATATCGAATTAGATTATGGATTATTCAAAAAGTAGAACGAATAAGACAAGCTCTCAAAACAACCTAAAGAAAATTTAGAGGGATGTCTATTTATGGGACATAAAGATTTATACATATCTTTTAAAATCTATTTATGGGACATGAAGATTTATACATATCTTTTAAAACATTAAAAAAAATTTGTACTTACTTTCTTCTTTCATATATTAATTTAGGAGAATGACACAAAAAGAAAATTCACAAATTCCCTAATTTTCTGCCGAAAAAGAAAACATGAGCATGCATATTGTATTACTGGTTCCAGCTTCATTACATTTCATCAGGCAAATTAATTATTTATAAATCAAGGCTCCATTCGAATCAAACTCAAGTTTTTACTATAGTGTTTTCTCTCACAAAAAAAATTCATATTTAACTTTTTGTGTTTCAGTATTTTCTTTCACATAAATTCACTTTTCTACTCAAATTGAAAACTCGAACTAACGAAACAGCCCAAAAGTAAAACTTTGATTAGCTCTATTTTTTTATAATATTTTTCTCCCTATCCAGCTTAATTAATTACATTTGATTGGGTTGATTTATTATTTAAGGTAATTATGTTAAGTTTTAGTTTTGATCATCTTAATTATTTGAAGTAATTTGAGTTTTAACTTTTTTTCGCAATTTATCCTTTTTCCTTCTAGCTCTTACATGCCTGGTACTTTACGTCTTCCTCCAGTCCAGCAGTCTCTTTTCAATCCAAGAGTTGCATGACAAGAAAGCGCCTTCCGGTTAGCTTAAATTAGAGGACATTTGGTTGGAGGATTCAAACCATGTGATTCGAACTATTTTCGATTTACGTAAATTTTTTGTGAGAGAAAATACAGTAGCGAACCACGAATCATGATTCGAATTAGAGAACGAATTGTTGGGAATAGTGTCCTAAAAGCATGAGATGTAAAAGGATATTTATTATTTATTTAATAAAAGAGTTTATTCATCATTTTATGTGCATATATTTATGAATATTTTATAAAATTCCTT